TCACATGTGCAAATTTGGATGAAATCAATTAGGCCCCAAAATTTTATCTATCTGTTCATCTTGTAGATTCTTTTTGAGTGGTGTATATCTCACATTTCCCTCAAGAACATGACGTTTGCAAGTTCCAAGTCCACTTTACTGGTATATGAAATTACATGAACTCCAAACTCTGCTAAATTTACCAGTTGCAAACAACATAATTTGGATTGTGTGACATATTGGAAATAACTGTTAATCCATAATTGTATTTAGTGTACTGACCAGTAACACAACTTCAAATCAATGCATCATACATTATCTCTAAGAATATGAAACATTATTCCACAATTCACTTATTAACTTATTAGTTATTTCACTTTCTACTTTAAAACTTTATGTTCAGCTATTTCTGGAAAAAGAGATATCACTCATTTACCTAACATTAGGTCAATCAAATGCTGTATAAGAAAATTTCATTATACTCAACAGGATAAATTTTCAAGTATGCATGACTATGCACAAGACAGTCAGCTTTCCATATCCATAGATTCTGCACCCACTGATTCTACCATTCATGGCTTGAAAATATTCACCCTCCTCCCCAAAACATCCAGAAATCAAACTTGATTTTACCATTTTATATAAGGGGCACCATTTTACAACCTCACTGTATAAATACAGACTTGAGTAAACACAGATTTTGGTATCCACGGGGGTTCCTGGAACCAAACCAAGAGCCCACTGCTCTGTATTATTATAACTATTTATACAGCAGTTCACAGTACATGCTGCTCTTATTTATAGTTTATACGCAACTGCAGCATTTCCCATTCTTGCAAGTGGAAAAAAAACAACATACAGCTACTAAAGTATTATTTTTTAAAACTGCTATCTCATTTTTCTATCCAGCCAAGACACACAGTTCTATACTCGTAACAATGTATTTGGAGAAATTCTGAAATTACGTTAACAAACTAGTTTTGTTCACAAATCTGAATTTTTAACTGGGGACATTTCAAATTGGCTTCCTCATTTCACCCAGTGTACTGTCAGACTAATGGGACTATTGTATGAATATTTGCTCCAGCACAAGATATTCAATGCTCTAGCTTCTTAAACCACATTGTAGAAATTAAAGAGTTCCCCTTTCTTACCATCCAAGAATATACCCTGGAAAAGTGCTATGTTAAGAGCGTATAATTCAGAGTGCTGAGAACATCAGTGCACAAAGGATGTATTCAAACTTACAAAAGCCGTAGAAAGGGCACTGCAGTTATTCCATTTGGCAGTGACTGCAGACAGCTTCTGTACTGAGTGGTAGAAGGTTGTAAGATATATCAGTGCCATTGTAGAAAAGTCTGCATACAAGCACTAATCACTGCCAGAATATGCAGTGCTTACCATAGAGAGTCTCCACATGTTAGGGTCAATCCAAGTATTGAGCTGTTTCTTCCCACACATTACAGAAGCCACATGGGGCTACTGCTATATACAGAAGCATTTTGACCAATTTTCATGTGGAAATAGTAAGTATATCTTTATTAGGTGGTAAAGAGTGCACATACCCACTTATCACAGATATACCATGTAGAATTTGGGTGATATAAATTCTAATTCAATCCGACATTTATGCAACATGAACTCCAGTTTATACCAATATCGATGGATTCTGCATCCATGGATTCAACCATCCACAATCTGAAAATATATTTTAAACAATAATTTCAAAATGCAAACCTTGATTTTTCCATTTTATATCATGGACCCCATTTTACTATGCCACTGAGTATAACAGGACTTGAGCATCCATAGATTTTGGTATCCACTGGAGGTCCTGGAACCAAAGCCCAGTGGATACCAAAGGCCCAATGTAATACATTTTGAATTCTTAATATAACATGGCATTCCTTAACTAAAATTCACCCACCAACCCACACACACATGCACAAAGCCATGCCCCAGATATCACATTTAGAGCATGACCACCTAAGTTGATTTTCTTCTTTTTTTTTTCATAGTGCTATTTGAATCTGTTGATTCAGCCAATTCTTTGCTTGCCACATGGCAGCTACACAAATCCCCAGAGCAGGCAGACAAATATTAAAATGATATAAACTGTACAAAGTCCTAAACTGTATTCTTCTTAAGTAGCAAACCAGCAAACCCAGTGCAAAGTTCTTGTCAGGACACGGTCTTATTCTTTCCATCTTCAATATGTACACATTCAAAATGGTCAAGATAATGGACAGGAAATCATGCCATTTTTAAAAAAGATGAAGTTTGAATTGGAAAATTTTTCAGTGGTCTAAGTCACTTCTAAGTCAGTCTAAAATATTTCTTTTTAATCACATTTGAATTATATGTACCTTTTGATTATATTCCTACCAAGAACTGAGAATTTTCTGAAGGAATTATCAACACAATATTTTACAACTTAAAAGATGTAGCACACTGGGGAGTTTCCTTGAGCAAACTGACCATGTAAGGTGATGAATATAGCAACAAATATCTTGAGTACTAATTTCTAAGAGCATTCCCACAAACAATTCTGCATATCTATTATCTATTGCCTCTAGAACTGAGCTCCTTCATTTACTTAGGGAGAAGTGAATATTTAACTAATGAAGGTATACTCTATCCTGGGTGCCATTTGGTTTTGTGTACAGAGCCCCAGGGCATCTATAAAGTGAAAGCTATCTAGACCAGTTTTTTAAAAAATATCATAATGGTTTGTTTTAGGTACATACAACTTTCAGTTTTATAACTCTCAGACCACTAACACTGACTCATTTGATAAAATAGAGCTAGAATCTGGTTTCCAGGACATCAGAAAGATTCTCCAGTAACTGAAAATATGAGACTTTTGGGTCTCATTGAAAAGACATTATTGTTTTTTTAAATACTTTTTTTCTCTAGATAAGATCACTTGCTTCTTTTTAAATAGCACTTTGGAGATTTCTGATAGTCCCAATGGCCCAACAACAACAACAAATCCACCAATCTATGCAAGTCATACTTCTGACCATTATGAACATGATGTCCCCCAAAAGAAGGCCTTTTTATACTACTGAGCTCCAAACCAAACAAGACAAAAAAAAAATTAAAAAATTAAAAATCCTGCTGGTGAATAGGAGGAAATCCCAACAATTATTTTCCGCTGTGCTCTTAGCTTCTCCATCATCCTGTTATTGCATAACAGACTACTGGGAACAAGGAGAAAAACTTTTTTTTACATACTCTACATAGCTGAAGAGATATAAGACTTAACTTCAAAGAGTGTTTTAAAAAGTAGAGTCAGTGCAGTGGTCCAAAATATTATTTTCCACTGGCATATCAGACGACTCAAATACAAATGTGTGTTTTAGTCTTCTGATATGCCACCGGGCAAAAGTTGGAGTATAAAAATAAAGTTTATTATTATTTTGGACTGCTGCATGGAATCTACTTTTTAAAACACTCTTTGAAGTTCAAAGATATAGCTGTGTTAGTCCGTAAAATCAGTATGTAAAGAGATCTTGTAGCACCTCTGTTAGCCTCAAATGTGTTACAAGATCTCTGAAATTCAGTCCTATATATATCCTCAACATCTGTGTTTTGGTGTTTTTATGTTCTTTTTTTATGTTCAGTAAAATAACTTTATTTAAAAGAGAGGGGGGAGGGGCTTCCCTTTCCTACCTTTTCTCCCCTTCAACTAGAAAAGTTAAAAAAGAAACCCACTATATAAGGAGGGATTTATAAGGAATGTTGTCCTTTGCTTGAGAAACCCACTGGGCCTAAGGCCCCAGAAGTTTGCCTCATCATCTTTTACAGGCGGGGAGCTGGACTTCGCCAACTTTAAATAAACACAGCGAGGACTGAGGTATCAAATGATTTAACGCACAAAAAAGGACTGCAGTGCGTCAGAGACAAAAGCCAGCTCCTCGCCTCACTGCATTGCCATGTACTGAGGGAGGTGAAGCCGAGGAGGAGGGTGGGAGTGAGGAGGGCAGGCTTTTCCTGGCACTTTTCCTGGCACTGCCCTGAGCCATCGTGATTTTCGGGTCCTTCGAGCTGTGCAAGAGCGGCAGGACAAACTGGGCCCCTTTCCTTTACATTTCCCCTTGCCAAGAACTGAGGAGGGCCTGGTAGAGTGACCAGATACATCTTCCTCACTGCCAAGGAGGGCAAGGCACCACAAAATGGAGAACCTTCAAGAGAATAATAATAATAATAATATTTATTTATATCCCACCCCTCTGAGATCAATCGGGGAGATCAAACAAAGTTAAAAGTGCAGTACATCCCAACCCTATCCCCACCCCCCCTTAAAAGAATATTAAATCAAATAAAAGTTAAAAGCCAAACAAAATAAAACTTTCAGCAATTAGCTGCAAGAGTAATAATAACAATAAAAATAAGGAAAAACAAAGAAAAAGAAAAAGAAAGCGACTTTATACTGCATTAGGGGAGACTCTAGGAGGACTCTCCCAAAAGAGTTCCTGAAATGGAGGACATGACCAAATCAAAGCTCAAAACACTCCTATACATACAAATGCACTTCCTATGGTTTATTTACAGTTGTATTACATATACTATACTTAATTATGGTTGTTGTTGTTGTCGTTGTGTGCCTTCAAGTTGTTTTCTGGCAACCCTAAAGTGAAACCTATCATGAGGTTTGCTTGGCAAGGTTTCTTCAGAAAGGGGCTTTGCCATGACCATCCTCTGAGGCTGAGAGAGTGTGTAATATATGCTCTCGTTAATGTACCTCTCTTACACTTGAATTGGAGGGGGAAAAAATCAGTTTGAATAGAAGGCATAAGCTGTCAAAATATGTGCGAGAAATTTTGGATTCAAGGAGTTAAACAAATACCATGTTTGCTCTTGTGTGCCTTCAAGTTGTTTCCGACTTATGGCGACCTTAAAGTGAAGCCTACCATGGGGTTTTCTTGGCAAGGCTTCTTCAGAGGGGGGCTTTGCCATGGCCATCCTCTGAGGCTGAGAGAGTGTGACTTGCCCATGGTCACCCAGCGGGTTTAACATAGCAGAGCAGGGATTCGAACCCAGGTCTCCAGAGTCCTAATCCAACACTCAAACCACTACACCATACTGGTTTTATTATGCACTCAACAATAATATGTTGAGAGAGAGACAGATTTTGTAGCACCTTTGAGACTAACTGAAATAAAGTTGGTAGCATGAGCTTTCGTAGACTTCAGTCTACTTCCTCAGATGCATTTAGTCCATACACACACAGAGAGTTATAACCATTATATGACTGAGTACGTAATAAAGCCAGTGTGATGCAGCAATTTGTGCACTGGACTAGGACTTTGGACTTATTAGATACTCAACCATAATATTATGTATTCAACCCTATCTTTCTGAGGACCTTATCCACGTTAAAATGCCATTGGCTTGCAATACGCTTATAGAACTAGTCATGCTCAAAACGGAGGACGTTTTGGAATCCTTCCAGGACGGAAGGTTGAAATGGAAGACAGGTCCTGGGAAAGGAGGACAGGTCCTGGAAAAGGAGAACGTGCCAGGTCACCCTGGGGCCTAAGGGCATTACTCCTGAGTCACCAGAGCAAGGCCAAGGACTAAGTCTCCCATACAAGGCAGGACATTTTCCCCTCAGGAACCTGAAGAGTCCATTGCTCCAATCTCTGAGGAGAAAACATGGTCGGCCCCTACCCTCCAAACTCCCTCCTGGGCTAAGAAGAATAAGACATTTTATTTTTTTTTCTCAGTCTCTCCTCAAAACCAGAGGCCAGTTTGTTGTTGTTGTTGTAATTGTGTGCCTCCAAGTCATTTTTGACTTGTGGTGATCCTAAGGAGAACCCATCATGGGGTTTTCTTGCTGAGTTTTGTTCAAGATAGATTTGCCATGAGGCTGAGAGAGTGTGGTTTGCCCAAGGTCACCCAGTGGGTTTTTCATTGCCAGTTACAGCATGTTAAAATACAATCCAATACACATAAACCCACAGTTAAAACCATAAACGCACAATAATACAAAATCATCATCATCATAATAATTAATAATAATAATGGTTAAGTTCCCAGACCCCCAAGTTTAGACCATTGTTCAAATCCCTGCTAGAGCATAAAATTACCCACTGGGTGACCTTGGGCCAGTCACACTCTCTCAGCCTCAGAGGACAATCATGGCAAACCCTCTTCTCTGAAGAAACCTTGCCAAGAAAAACCACATGATAGGATTGCCATTAGTCAAGGTGACCAGATGTCCTCATAATCAAGAAGGACAAGGCACTGCAAAACGAAGGACCTTCAAGACAAAGGGACCAAAGAAAAAGCTCAAAAACATACTCCTATAGAAATGTAAAAGTCATGCTTCTTAGTCATGGTCAGAATAGAGGACGTTTTGGGAATTCCTCCTGGACAAAAAGGCTGGAATGGAGGGCAGGTCCTGGAAAAAGAGGACATGCTTGGTCACCCTGAAGACAACAGATAATGTAGGACCTTCAAGACAAAATGTAGGGAACCTGACCCAAGAAAAGTTCAAAACACACTCCTATAGAAAAGTCAAAGTCAAAGGAGAACCAGGCACCCCAAAATGTAGGGCATCCAAAAAAATGGAGGGCATGATCAAATAAAAGCTAAAAAGCCTAATATAAATAAATGTCTAATATAATATAAACAAATAGGCAACACAAAATGTAGGACCTTCAAGAAAAAAATGTAGGGAACCTGACCCAAGAAAACGCTCAAAATATACTCCTATAGAAAAGGCATGCTTCTTAGTCATGCTCCAAAAGGAGGACCTTTGGGAATTCCTTCCTGGACTGGAAGGCTGGAAAAAGAGGACCGGTCCGGGAAAAGGAGGGCGCACCTGGACACTCTGCCAAGGGGTCATTTTAAAAAGAAAAAAGACTTGGAGGCACCCAACAACAAGAAGAAGAAAGAAGGCAAATAATCCCAAAGAGTTCACATGTTCTCTCTCTCAAGTCTGTGAAGCTCCTAAGTCTGCAAAGGGACATACTAAAACAAATGACAGTACTTGCCCATAGGGAAACATTGGGGAATACTTGTCCATAGGGAAACATAGAACAGTTGCCCATAGGGAAATATAGAACACTTGCCCATAAGGAAACCATATTTGCCCATAGGGAAACATTGGGGAATACTTGCCCATAGAGAAACATTGAATACTTTGCTTTAGCCTATAGGGAAATATAGAACATTTGCCCATAAGGAAACCATACTTGCCCATAGGGAAACATTGGGGAATACCCATAGAGAAACATTGAATACTTTGCTTTTGTCCATAGGGAAATATAGGAGAACATTTGCCCATAAGGAAACCATACTTGCCCATAGGGAAACATTGGGGAATAGTTGTCCATAGAGAAACATAGAACAGTTGCCCATAGGGAAATATAGGAGAACACTTACCCATAAGGAAAACATGTTTGCCCACATTGGGGAATAGTTGCCCATAGAGAAACAATTAATACTTTGCTTTTGCCCATAGGGAAATATAGGAGAACACTTGCCTATACAAAAACCATACTTGCCCATAGGGAAACATTGGGGAATACTTGCCCATAGGGAAATATTTAATACTTTGCTTTTGCCCATAGGGAAATATAGGAGAACACTTGCCCATAAGGAAACCATACTTGCCCATAGGGAAATACTGTATATGTTTCCTTATCGACAAATCTTCTCCTATATTTCCCTAGGGGCAAGTATTCCCCAATGTTTCCCTATGGGCAAGTATGGTTTTTGTA